ACTAACATAGATTAGCCGCCATTTCTTGCAACGTCTCCAAGCAAGCACAGGTGGGGTCACGGGGACCCCATTCTGGAAGGCGTACGACAGAAACACTCAAACTCTTTGTGATCTCTTTCACGCCTTTCTGTCCACCCCGCGGTTTGCGCTATCCTGAAGGAGGCACGGAGAACAACACTCGTCTCGGTAGACGGTATCTCGGCACACGTAGCATATTGTAGTTCGTGGTGCTGGATGTTTTCTCCGATTGAAGTACCTGTCGCACAAACAAATATCCATCTTCTAATCACCTCGTTACTAAGACTCTGACGCCATCCAAAACCAGCTACGCTTCTGAGACATCATTGGTAAAAAATCTGAAGACAGCCCTCATCATCTGTCCACAGATGCCGTCTCGCACCCATACAACAACACAGCCCTTACTATGGTCTGGTGCACGCGACCCTTAAGATTTAGTGAGGTGCCTTTTTGACCCCACAAGTGACGCAAATTGGCAAACGTGATTAGGGTCTTTAAGGTTTTTGCACTGACCTCAGAAGACACTTCCGTCAGAGCTAATACAACTTCCGAGTTATGTAAAAATTTTCACAACCTCCAGTGATTCCTCTTAAATTGTAAGGGATATGTGCGGCGACTGCACATTCTAAAGCACGACCTTTCACTTTGAAGGTGCAAGGCGCATGCCAAAAGATGGTATGATGGTGGTCAGTCTATTCAACAGGGCTTGTGCTTCGCTTTGGTTTTCAAAGATGAGGACAATATCATCTGTGTACTCCAGATTGACAAGGCTCTCACCAGTAACAATCTGAACAACGGAATTTTGAAGGCCTTCCAGCGTTCGCCTCGTTAGTTTATCAAAGATGGAGTTGAACAAGAATGGAGAGAGTGGGTATTCTTGTCTGACACCACTTTTTGCAGGGAAACTTCTGGAGAGCTGGATTCTGGATTGGAGGTAGCAGGTGACCGGCTGAATTGCTGTTCGGAGTACTGTACTCACTAGTCCAAACGTTCTGCTGTGCTACATATCAGGAATCCATTTTGGTCCTTAATTATTTCGCTGATAAGAGGTTTCCGAGGACCAGTCGAACGAATCAGGTGGAACAGCTTGCGGACGTTTCCGTCATCCTTTGCATTTCCCATTTCTTCGGCCTTTCGGGTCCTTCAAGCTTCTCGGGCTGCACAGATACTCACTTTCGCCTGGCGTCCGATGAGGCGTCAGGTGGAGGTATGATTTTGGCCATGATGAATTTGTCGCCAAGTCTTTGACAAAGACACGGGCCTGTCAGAGATCCGATGTTTGGATGAGGTTGGCTTGGTTGTACCGCAAACAGACGTTCCGACTTTGAGTAGCGCTTTGGATACCTTTTCCCAGTAGCCGCTTATATCCGACGTTGTGCCGTCCGGCAGGCGTTCGAAGAGCTGGTTCTGATAATTTCGGTTCACTTCCGAGTCCATAGCTTCTCAATGACTAAACGAGGTTTGTTCGTTTCGCGTACACCTGAAAAGCGCAATGAGAAACAGCAACGTACAAGTGCATGGTCGGAGTCCACGCTGGTGTTCCAGAAGAAGCGGCGGGCGGTGACCAACCCTCGCCACCGATAACTGACGGCGATGTGGTTTATTTGGATTCGGGGCCGGTTTGTTGGTGGACACCAGGTTGTCAAGAGATTCCGCTGTCTCGGAAATTCATACTTCAAAGAAAGAGTCTGTGATCTGCACACATCTAAAGTAAGTGATCCCCGTTGTCCGTGCGCCTCGTGTCCAGTTCAAGACTCTCACCCAATTGGGCCTCAGCAACGCTTAATCTACCTACCGGGACGTTCATGTGACCGGTATCCACAACGATATCTGAGATTTTAGCTCGCTGTAGTAGGACACCTAGGACACCTACGTCATATAACCTGTACTTGACAGATTCAGAACTGCGGTCAGTTGGGGTGTAGGCAGACACAATAAACAAGATGCGATGAGCCTCACTTCCTCTAGATTCTCTCACCAAACGAACCGCACAGAGGCGACTATCAACGGGCATCCAGTCAATCCGGGACGCTTCTGCTCAGTCGCTCAATACAATACCCACCCAGCATATCCAGTTTCAGCGGCCTGTGTATCACCAGAAGTGCGTAGCCGGAACCTGGAAGAGAATGAAGGAGCAGTCAGTTCGATAACAGTACTTGCATCCTGCATCCTTGTTTCTGACAGACAACATACATCAATGCAGGGGGAATCCAGCGTACGAGCAAGAGCCACCTGTTGACCTGTTTCCTTCAGTATTCGAACATTAAAGGCTTTCGGGGTTTGAAAACAGACTTCGAAGTATTTGGGGTTGTGACGTAGCTCGAACGTACCGAAGCTGCAGCTAAGTGTGATGCAGGGCGAGCAAAGCGGTCAGTCCTAGTGCTGGGACTTGCGGAGAAAGTATTCAAATTTTGGTGAGGGTGCGTGGAAGAAGGAAAGCGTGAAAGTATACGAAGGGAGGCGTCATCAGTAGCATGTTTTCGCTTACCCGCTCTGCTGTATGCAGGAAGTAGGGCGACCCGGCTGGTGGAACTATCCGACGGCCGATGTGGAATAAGAGTATTGTTGGTTGTAAATGTCACGATTGTACGAGGTCTGGGATACCACCAGGGGGAAGACGATTAGGGTCCCCAACCAAAGCCTTTGGTTCAAAAGCCTAGCCGCAAGGCAGCGGTGTTGGACCGGAAATGCAAGTACATCACCATTTTTTAGGAACATGTCGCGACACATGTTCCAACCCCCAACCTGGTTACCAGGAGACTGTGTTCGTCAAAGCTCTACTCATTGACCAACCTAGTATGAGAGATTTTGAGTGTCGCGCAGACAACCCCAGTGTAGCTCAACGGGTCACTATGGCACACAAACGGCCACACCATGGTAAAGTCCAGTCTCTCCGTAATCAGAGTTTGCAACATAACTTTTAGGGCTGATGCATGAATTCCGTACAGCCAGAACGGTGACTTATATTGAAAGCCTTAACTTGAAAGGAAGAGAAATGAGGGGATGATGGATGAATTTGACGCTATGATGTCACAGCATTCTAAGGTGCCCACACTTCCAGGCTTGAACTCAAACCATCTGGAAAGAACGATACTGAAATGGACTAGCCGTCAGTTTGTAATGTTTCCCGGCCCGGGGGGAGGGGTCCCAGCGAGTCCATATTAGAAGGCGGACCGCATCAAAAACATTTAAACTTTCTGCAACCTCACATCTTCCAAACAAACGTCTTTTACCTTACCGACCTGCGTTTTTCTAATTTGAACCAGACAACCGTACGGCAGAGCATCGATGATTTACTTGGATCCAGTCCAATAAGTCGCTTCTGGCCCTGGGCAACGATGGATCAGTGTTGAGCACTGCGGCTATGCTGTCAATGATAACTGTTTCAGTCCTTCAACCGGGTGCAGCTCCCAAGCCATAGATGCCATCATTCACTGCGCTAAGATTATCGAACACCTGGAAAGTAAAATGCGAAGCCCGTCTCCGCGGTTTGAGGAGCTTGACCGAGGTGGGAGGCTTATGTGCGTCGACAAAGAGGCAAAGCAAAGTTTCAGTACGGGGCGGCTGTTTCTCACTTTGATAGAAGCTGAATTATGGGTCAGATCTTTTGATCTTCGTGATGGATTATTTTGGTTTACTTCGCTGGACGGTGGTTCATACACGGAACAACATTCAATGATTAGGGAGTGGATGCATCAAGTGTATCGGTTGAAGGGTTGGGATGGGGAACGCAATTTTCTGGTTTCCTAGGCCGAACCAGGCCTTTATGATACACTTCACTTGAAACCTTCAGCCGAAAAGTCGGGCGAACAAGTCGACAGGTAGTACGCTTTTCCTGGAGATGCTGCCCGGAGTCAGTGGCTCGATAGTCTGACCCGTTTGGCAGCGGGGTACTGGCCCTGCATGGGTCACAGAGAGTGATAAATGTTCACGAATCTTGATTCGTCTGAAGGCGCATCTGGCTCTTATTGGGTGGTAGATTATAAAAATTCGTCGTCCGAGTTAACGTACAAATCGAACCACGAATGCTTCATCGAGAATTTTTAAAATCGCATGCGCATGAGAAAGGGTGAGAGAAGACAATGGTGATCCGCTGTAGTTTGCGTACATGTGTTTGTTGAATATTAGGGTCGGTATTTCAACTTGGGGGGCCATAAAGGTCTTTTGGTTGTTACTTTTCCGGACAACGGTCTTAACAACCCAACATCTGGCTCAGACACGTGAATTTAACTTGCAGGAAACATATGAAGGCTCTGGGTGCTCGAATATCCGTATCTCGGGAACAGTATTCGGGTTTGGTCCGAACATCTGCTGAATAAATTAGAGCTACACCATATGGTTCGTGAGAAAAGCAGCATGCTCCACAGACTGCCGGTTGGGTCAAAAGACTATCTCACTCAACCAACACACTCAGGGCGGAAACAACCAAAGTGGCATTCTGATTTTGCATAGCATCGCGTAGAACTTGATCTGCAACTCAATTGCGTTGGCGATCGTCAACTCGGATGGAGACCGCAGAACGGAGCACATAACTGGCTCGTGACCTCGGTAGACCTCATCCGTTCGCACATTCAGTGGCATTCGTGCACTAAAGCTACCGGTTCCACCGGACTGGCCAGGTAAAGTAAGTAGGCCATCACAATCAGTGTATATCTATCTTATCCTAATTTCATCTGTTGCCGATGGACGAATCTCCAACAGATAGAACACAGCTTTTAGCTGAATAACTGAACTACACTACTGAGTGTCTTTTGAGCTGCCAAGTCCAACTGCGTCTGCATTTGGACTATTTAGCCACCTTTTTATACATTCAGCTTGGTGTTCATTTTGCCGTTGTTTTGAAGGTGATGCGCTTAGACATTCACGGTGAATGTTGTGAATTATTGTGTCTGCTCGTATTTCCCTCCCAATTTCTAACATATTATCGGTTTATTTTTCAGAGCTTATCTTCCCTCCCATTTCTAACATATCGGTTTATTTTTCAGAGCTTATCCAACTTTGTCATTTTTGAACAGTCTGTTCGCTAACCATCGGACCGGCGGACCCTAAGTAACCCCTCGACTGTCTGTTATGCACCGATTCTTCGTCGTCTTGGGGAAAAATTATCGATTGTTTTGGCGTGGATGGATACAAACACTTTTTGTCTGCATCCTCCCGATTTTGCTATCCTGTACCTTGATATTTCTTCGGAATCAGTCCACAAGAAAAATTGTACCGTCAGCGATTCACTGGAGGGATTTCCATCTAGATGATTTGCCTCTGCCCCCTCCGAAATCGGCCGATTTATGGACGCTTGCCTACGCACCGAACACATCACTGTGTAATGAAATTATCGCGACGTTTGCTCCAGGGTTGTCGCTAGTTCCCCTAGGCTTTCCTTCGGAGGATCTGTTGTTGGATTTTATACGCACGGCTGATCCACGTGTTGAAAGTACACTGGGAGCTGTATTGTTTGACGAATCTTCACATTTACTGAACATGTCCTACACAATAAGGTTGAGAAACGGTGTAGAGTGGTCGACTTCTTCGCTTTATCCCAAGTTCGCTGAGGGCAAACCTCGGACCTTCGAACGCTATGGTTCGCCTCCTGATTACTATCCTTCTGGTTTCCTATCTCTCCAGCTGGCGATTGATCGTTCTATAACCAGGTTGCTGTGTGGTAATGATGAGCCGGGAGCGTTCGTAGACGTCAATCTCAAACGAATGCCGTATCCACCGTATCTAGATGACGGTTTTATTCCGGTCATTCAACGGCAGCTAGCATTTGTTATTGTCCTCGGTTTCATGTTCCCTGTGTTACACGCGGTTCGTTCGGTTTTGACTGAGAAACAAAGGCGCATCAAAGAGACATTAAAAATGCTTGGCGTGAGCAACGGAACCTATTGGTGCTCTTGGTTTCTCGCCTATTTGTCTCTGTTTATGGTTGTGTGTGTTGCTCTTACGGCGGTGCTGTGTGTTAATTTCTCCTCCAATGGACCGTTGTTGACTTCTTCCAACCCGTTTTTGATATTCATGTTGCTCTTCATCTACGCCTATAGCCTGCTCACATTCGGGTTTGCCGTATGTAGCCTATTCAATTCACGTAAGTTTTATTTTTTTGCAGCTGCCTTGTTTGGGATCTAATCATGCAGCAGATTTCGGTATCGTCGTGCAAATGTTAAGTATAGATAGCTTAGTATACAAGGAAGGTTTTCATAGTTCTCATAGGACTTGTTGAAGTTTGACCATTTCCCATCGAATGGTTTATCATATTTTGGCTTCGGGTCGGTGTAACCCGCCTTGAATAGACAGTGTTCTTGTTATGCATACGAGGCCACGAACGGAGTTGTCGCAGGTGTTTTTGCGGGCATCTATAGATGTAGTTCATACTCCTATGGTGTTGTCACTGGATGGTTTTCAACTTTCATTTTATTGGAAATGAAGGCTACAGGGATCTCCTATTTCATGCCTTAATATCATTTCGTCACACCCTATATTGAACCGGCGCAGCTAACGTTGGGGCCGACATAGCCACTGCATAAAAATGCGACCGTTTGTGATCACAGACCGTATTCAAATACCATTATTATGGTGGGTTTGAAAGAGTATCACAGATTTCCTTCCAAAGCCAATGTAGTCTTTGGATGCGGTAATAAACCGGAAATATGATAGTGTTAAAACCACAAACCGCGACCGATTGTCGTTCTTCCAAGATACAGGAAACGCGTACACGGTTGGAAACTAGCTGTTCTCTGTTTTACCACAAAGTGATTCTGTTACCACAAAAATATCATGTCACCCTAACTCCATCTCTATGATTACACTGTCACGACGCGTCTAGACGAACGAACTAAGTGTGTTTCATGATGTTGTCCCCAAATCGTAGGAATTGATTGTCAGCTGCTTTCTGGATTACGTGTTTTTTGTTAATTTTGATAAAAATGATGGCCTTTGCAGTTGACATTCCGTATTTCAGGTTGCTAGAGGATAATTTTCGAAGGTTGTTTGCAAATCGCTAACCGAAACAAAACACAACTCTGTCGCAGTCTTGCAGACATCATCAACAGTGATCTTTCAGGTCAAAGTAAATACTTGCAGCATGGATGTGGCAGTCAAGATGTTGCCAGATTACGACTGCCCTGGAGCTCCAAGACGTCGGTTTCTAGCAGTTCTTAGAAATGTGAACGCTTTCCGCACGAAATCCAATTATTACCAATTTGAGGGGGAATATACGGAACCCGCACGCTCACTTTGTGTATGCTATGCGTAATGGTTGTCACTGCAAACAAATAACAATGGGCGAGCAAATTGTTCTCGGTGTCATCCTCAGGTCAGGTTACGCAAGTTGAAGTGGAATTGAAGCTGAGCATGATTTTCGTTAGGAACTGTTCACTACACAAATCAAGTTAGGAGTAATCTGCCAGATACAACTGTCACCAGTTAGCGGATATTACGTCGAATAAAAACCAATACAATGTCAAAGCTGAATTTTTCAAACATGCATTACAGCGATGTATCCATACAGGTTGTATTCGGAAGCGAAAGGCACCAGGACGTCATCTTGGGTATGAAATACCTCATCTCATGCTGAGAAAATCACAAACTCGTTGGTTTTCCTCCTGTCATTCTCGCTCGATTGTATTTCAGGCTTGTGTGCGTACTTAACTGTGTGCATCGACGGTATCGTGGAGTTATGCGATGGATCACGTGCTACTGAATATACAATTCAGGTCACAACATTGCTGCAGGCGTTTCTTGTGTTGATTTTGAGACAAGGCGAAGCACACATGTACTGTTCCTCCGAAAGACTGCACAAACAGTAAAGCACTGTGTTGCACTTGGAAAGGTACACACCTTCCTGTATGACGACGTTCTTCGCCTCTCAACACAGCAGTGCACTGATGTGGTTACCCTGCTTGATGATGAAACGTGTGCGCTAGAATTCCTCAACTCAGCGAACCAACCTTAACTACTCACACTGTCCTCAATAGCAAATAACGGTACCGTAGTTTGCACGCTTAGTCCATCTTCGTAACGTTATTTCAAATTTATATTGTCGTTTTCTCTCCACTCTAGCTCATACGGGAACGGCAATCTGTTGTGCTGTACTGATTGCGATCTGCTTGCCAAGTGCTGTATTAGATGAGCACTACGAGGAGCTGAATTTGGCGACCAAGGTGATCTGTTCCTTCCTACCCAGCGTTGGAATGGGGTTCGTATGTCTCCTCATTGGTCAATTTGAAGGAATCGGTAAGTCATGTTATTCGCCTGGGTTGTTCTTCATGGCTTTCATGTGATTTGTAGCTGGTCACCAAGGTAGAGGCTCTGTTCATCACTTTAAATTCGGCAGATTGCTCACTCTGTTGGTGGCCAGTAGGATTACATGCTCAGGGGAGATTTCAGCCCGCCATACTGCATTAAATAATGTGTGTTTGTCACAGACGGGCATTGTAACTGGAGAGGGAGTGCTTGTTATACTCAAACGATTGATTTCCCTATCTAGTGCCAGCACACATTGTTACCTTGTCTGCTGTATGGTTTAGCAACCTTCGTGTAGCAAACAAGGTAACAATGTGTGCTGGCACTAGGCAAGAAAATTAGTCGTTTCAGTTCGATTGTATGCTTTACAAACCTTTGTTGAGTTCGATATAACTTGGTGGTTGGGGCACGAATTTACTGTCCGTGGTTCGAAGCCAACCTTGGCATCTCGACTATCGCTGTCTAGGCTGTCTAGGCACGATACTGACAAGTTGCCCAAGCCTGGACAGAAGTTGTCGAGATGTAGGGGTAGGGTTCGAATCACTTGTCTAGGCTGTTTAGGGACGATAACTCAGCCCTGTTGCTTACTTTGGGATGCACCCAGCGGTCACCCAGCTGATACTCCACCCGAACGAAGCACGATACTGACAAGTTGCCCAAGCCTGGACAGAAGTTGTCGAGATGTAGGGGTAGGGTTCGAATCACGGAACTCTAAGTCCGTAAGCTCGTACCTCAACCACTGAGTTGTCTCAAGCATTGCAGCTATGCATCGAACGGATGCCACAGCCAAACGGTTATTATTCTTGTATTGTATTAGAAGGCTCTGTTATCGAGTGGCGTTTTATGGAAGAGGCCTGTATTTTTATGGCTGGTTGCACAAACTGATTTCCAGACATATTAACTTGGCACCCGGGAAACTTTCCTCTCTTTCAATCGTCAGTCAAAAAGTCGCGGTATTTCTTTGTTTCTTGAATGACTTCAAGATTTATTGATCCAGTGATATTATTTAGCCGTGTAACCATGTTCTGTCTCAATAACTTTTACATACAAATTGCCTTCTTGCCTATCTGTCTGTCAGTCTGTTCTGCTCACCATGAATGACCCGATTAGTCTCTGGTCGAATTTTCAGACGTTTGTGCGTCGCCGAATTCCCAGTCGCTGCGCCTTCAAAACAACTTGTAACACGCTTTTGTCGGTCTGCTGAAGAAAAATGAAGAAAATGTTTGGCACATTGAACTCGACGTCCAGCTTTTTGCGTATGAATAAATGTTAGTTGTTCTTTCTTAGAGATTGCGAGCTATTGGCCCCTATGCAGCTCACCAGACTTCAACAAAAGGATAGCATCCCTGGGAGATTCGATCAACTTTTGAGAGTGATAACACTCTCGGTAGCTGAGTGCATGCCTCTCTTTTTCTTCGCTCCGAACCAATGCCTCTTTCCATCCCATGCAGGCGTCGGAGTACAGTTCTCCAACCTATTCACACCAGCCAATCCAGGCGACAATCTGTCGCTGCACATTCTCTGGATGGTCTTGCTTGTCCAGGGCAAACTATTTATGCTCATCGCTCTATATGTGGATGCTGTCTGGCCTGGAACATACGGTGTTCCCAAACCTTGGCACTTCCCCTTCACAGTAAGTATTGTTTTGGTCACGTTTTACCGACTGCATTAGATCATACCGTTGTTGGGTTATCGTCCTGTTCACCATCTGGGATGCTTTCCTTGGTAATGTTTCACCTAATCCTTTTTTCTGTTGGACGAAACGTTTTTTTCTGGTATTTGTAACTTGTTTTACTTGTTCTGCTCACCACCTGCAGATCGTGAGTAATCTGTCCACATGGACTTTCCTTAGGGAGTTGTCACGCCATAGGGTCGGTCAAAAGCGAATCACTTGACATGAAATGCGTGACTGAAGGACGGTTGCGCCTCATCCTTCATAAGTGCGGGTTATTCGTATAGCTGACCAGCCACTTATGGCCGGACAGTATACTAACCCGTTCAGCTGTAGCACCCTTTCGGTGCCTAGCTGCCATGCCACCCGAAGGAAGCACGAGGGCTGGGATACTGCCAGATCGCCCAAGCCTAGACAGGGGAAGTCGAGAGGCAGAGATCGGGTTCAAACCACGGATGGTTCTGATACAACGGTTGTCGAACAACTGAAGAAGCCTCAATTCCCCTGGTCGAACAGACCAACTGTCACAGCCATACAACTAACCGGCCTGATACACGCCCTTGGAGATACAGAGGCATACCGCTTTGACGACATAGGTCTTTGAAATTAAACGCGACCCTAGCTGCCGCGCCGCACGAAAGAGTCACGAGGGATACTGTCAGGTTGCCCAAACCTAGACAGGGAAGTCGAGAGGCAGAGGTCGGGTTCGAACCACGGACCTTCCGGTCAGTAAATTCGCGCTCTAACCACTTGAGCCGTCTCGCCCCAGTATACTGCTTGGCTGTCAACCGGGATGTCGAAGATTCGAATTCCCTTTGAGCTTCATGGGGATTCCCTTCAAGGCTGACACAGGTGTCCAGTGTTTCCCGGTCTTCCAGCATAGATTAGTCTCACTTTTTATCATGGATTTTCAGTCGTCTGTCTGTCATCTTGCTTTCACTTCAACGTCTGACAGTACGTCGATCAAATGCTTATTTCGATGACGTATGACTCACTGCATCAATTGAATTTGTTAGTTCGAATCCTTTCCAAGTGATAGGCGTCCCTTGGTCAACAGTGTCACAGGGGGGCTCATCATTCAGTAGATCACCGTTATTCGTCCAAAACTTGCTTTCTGTGTCGTATTTGATGGACGAGTTTGTTGACGTATAAGTTCATTGGGCATAATACTCTCGCACAAGTATTTGTGGCTTGTACTCGAACGCCTGCCTGGAAATGCTCGTTTAAAGTTGATTCAGTCCGATTTCTTCTGCTTCCTATGCGATACTGGCGTAATCCATCACTGTCATGCCGCACTTTCTACTGATCTTGAGACTTCTTATCAAGGCACTGTTAACATGATATTTGATGGTCGCATTATAATCTGGTAATCAAATGGCATTGTTTTCCTCAGTTTGACGAGTGTCGGGATGTTAATGATCGGAAAGTGGAATGAACGGTCCTCAATTTACTTCTTTACATTTAGCATTTACACAGATCCTAATCAGTTAGGGTTAGATCTACTCTGAGTGCCGCGCTAGCCTTAGAGCATTGTCAGGAGCGAGATGGCCCAAGTGGTTAGAGCGCGAATTTACTGACCGGAAGGTCTGTGGTTCGAACCGGACTTCCGCCTCTCGACTTCCCCTGTCTAGGCTTGGGCAACCTGGCAGTATCCCAGCCCTCGTGCTTCCTTCGGGTGGCATGGCAGTTGGGCACCGAAAGTGTGCTACAGCTGAACGGACGAGAGCATTGTCACGCGTCATCCCCTAATGCCTGCCTAGATAGCCATTCTTCATTTCTGTTGAGTAACATGTGCTCTTATGGTCTAGATTAAAGGTGAGATGCGAGTTTCAGCCACTCACCTCGGATAATCAAACTGCCTACTTAATTCAAAAGAAACTTGCGAAGTATGCACGGAAACCTATTCAGTCCACACTGCCTTACATTAGTGAAGGCAACACGAAAATTAGATCTGGAATCTGATGTGGTGGCTAGCTCGCAAGTTCACCACGATGACGGAAAGTATTATGATTGTGGGCACCAGACATATTTCTTTATAGTTCCTACGAGGCTGTTCTCTAGGGGGGAGTACAGAAGTCCCATGCCGTCATTTTCCTCCCTCGAAAAGGGTTCCTCCGCGTAAAACAGTATGTTTCTTCTTCCTTTTCAAATGATGGGGAACCAAAACAACCGCAAGATTCTCAGGTTTCTCACATACTTCCGATTCGAATTGCTGGCCTGAGAATGCACCACAGATTGTTTGAAGGTACCACAAGTAGTTGTTTTGAGACGGCAACCCATCCGTCGCGGCAGTGTTATCTCAACAAGTCTGTTCCGTTTTTTGCTTGCTGGTACGTCTGGTTTCGAACATCTTGTGGATGTGTTGGCTCGGTAGATATGCACAAATTTACGCATCCGCTTTGTTCCAACCATCGACGCCGTTAATCTGGCACAAAATTCAATCTGTTACTTGTCAGATACTCTCATTTGCGTACTAGTTTGGTTTTAACGAAAGACTCGACTGAATCCAGCCGAATCTCTCGTTTGTGACGGGAGCTCGGGAACTGTGCCCACCTGATGAGCCCCAAAAACGAGCGAAGCCGGTCGTGTGCTGTCGAAGGGTTTCTGGCAACATTATGAGTAGTGTGTCACGTCTAGTTGATCTGTTGCTCTTTTACTTTGTCTAAAGACCTGAAATGAGTGATATTTTGTTGACTCCGTCAGTGTCTGTGCAGACGCAAACCCACCGTTTCAATTACGCTGGATCCCGATGCGGACAATGAACCTGATCTGGCTGACATCACTTTGGGGCGCCATCCACTTTCTGGGCACTCGGTCGTTGAACAAGGTGATGCTGTTGGGAAGACGGAGGCGGAGAATACGCTTCCAAGTGAAACACACATTTCACCCGACTCTTGCGGTCCAACCCCGTCGACATCTGCCTGTCCTCGTCCCTGTTACGATGAGGATTATATTGAAGCTGAACCAGTTGGACTTCCCATTGGTATTGCACTAAAGCGTATTCGTAAGGTGGGTGAAACTAGAGCCTTGTCATGACCCACTGGCGACTCTCAATTTCTGTATTTTCTGATTTGAAGGCATTCGTCTTTCGGATATGTGTGAAGTAGTGGACATGAAAAACCCAGGTACTGTTTAACTGCACAGTTAGTACGCACCATCCAGGTTTGAAAGGGGCTCATAGTTGTTCGCCTATAACCACTCATCTGCGTTCGAATTCACATGTTTAGTCGAATGTACCGATTTCACGAAACTCTGAGTTTAGTGACGCAGTAGTGCTCTCTCTCTCTCTCGCAGGGGCGAATATGATCGGAAGGGGGCTTCGCCCCTTGGGCTTAAGCATCTCAATCAGCTGTTTAGTCTCACAGATGATACATACAGATAAGAACCTCTATTTAGTGGAGAACGTAGAACACGGTTCGGCCCCCTTCGTTTCGCTTCTGGTGTTTTGAATATGTTTTGAATATTTCCACTTCTAGAAGCATACCCTATTGTGGCCGCGTTGCAATCTTCTGAACGTTGGAACTGTGATGCGTTGAAGTCGGCAATATTATGACCGGCTCATCGTTGTCGGTGCTCCTTTCGTAGTGTTCCCCTCACGCTAGTTCCATGAAATGTGAAGGGTCTTCTCGCAGTACATGCATTATAAAGTTGAAAATCTACTAATGACTGCTTGCTATTCAAGCGTTAGACCCACTTAGTCTTATGCTAGTTCCATGAAATGTGAATGGTCTTCTCGCAGGACATGCATTATAAAGCTGAAAACCTACTAATGATTGCTTGCTATTCAAGCGTTAGACCCACTTAAAGCACTTCTGAGTCTCAGTTGGCGTTGACCTCAGCAGTACTAGGGTTACCGAGTTTTAGTCATTTCGCTAAAGCCGCACCTAAAAATACCCACACATGTTGGATTGTCCCGAGCTTTCCGGACCCATACACTGGCATCGAACGATTGAAACTAACGAAGGAAGTGTGCAAAACCATTTCATCTGCATGGCTGAAGAGCTGCTACCAGCTGGACAATGAATCCGCGACAGGACTTGCGTCTGGTAGTCCATTTTTACGAACCGGATGATTCCTGCATCTGATGGCTGCAAGTGAGGTGTGCCTGAACAGGTGATGTAATGAGTTTGCATCTTTCCAACATAACGTTGGAAAAGTGTGACACTCAACAGTTTTCCTGTTTGGCTTAGTTCGAACAGTGATAGAAATTTCTGAGTAGTGGTCATAGGGTTACTGTTCGGTGGCCTCAGTACATTTCGTTACGCCTGTGATTGTTTGCACACCGTTCGCCCGCTAGTGGTGTGCCGGATGTGCTGGTGTGCACATTAGCTCTGCATTCTTGTGGTAACGTCGTCCAACTTGGCGGAGTTGCTTGACGTGACAACAAATCGTTTGTTTTGTCTCGATAACTATGTCACAGTGGATCATTCTGAGATGTCCTGGCTCGCTGAGCATATTGGGACATTTGGTTAGACTCTTCTTGTTAGTCACACCACTGCCAATCATCCTCTTTGCCCGTATGACGCACTGCATGCTTTAAGGACGTCCACATCCACGGCACAATCTACCATTATTTTGACATGACAGCCGCACCACTGTAATTCGGTTCTACTTCTTGTGACCTACTTGGCGTGTTGACATCGTTCTTGTCAGCATGAGTGCATTATCTCATTGCAAGCTGTTTGTTTTTCTGCAAACCATCTATCACAGCTTACTGGATCAATCAGGTCAGTGACATGGTGTGATTTCGTGCTGAGCCGTCAACTCTGTCCACACAACGATTTCTGTCTCGCTGACAAGTTGCATGTGATAATAACACTTAGACCAAGGATGAGCATGGAGTTGGAAACTGTTAGCTTGCGACTTGAACTTTGTTGAGTTCCCGCAATATCTAAGGGTTAACTTTGAAGTTCAACTCTGTAATTCCAATCAGTTCATAGTGATTTCAGTGGAACGAACAGACTTCATAGGAAGTCGGTTGGCGGATACAGAGTTCCAGATCATCTGCTTTGAGGGATAATTTGTGGGAGCACCCATAAGATTTACAGTGCATGCGAATTGGGAACTCAGGGGATTGATTCGCTCTTGAGGATTTGCCCTTGAGCAGGGTTGCTGTATATCGTTCTTGCGCACCAGCCTGACAGTGTTGTTTCAAGCTGCTTTCTGGGGCCATCTTGAGCAGACGTTTTTTTACTGGAATCACATTGTAATTTAAAGTAAAAAAATGTTTCATCTGCGGAATATACTGAAACGATATCTTCATCGGATAGGACTTCATGGATAAAACTATTTTCCAGTTCACTGAAGCAGACCATCGAATCTGTTCCCCCTCGATGTAAATACTGAAGTCATTAAAGTACAAAAAAGATATGCTTATTTTCCATTATCTGGTCACTCGAAATCGGTCTAAGAATAATGAATATCTGGTGCGCTTTCGTCATCTAACCATCAGACCCGTTTTTAGTAGTGGTGCTTTTAGTTGCACGGATTTGTAAGTAGAGCCGTCTCACCTTATTGCAGACTTATGCACTGCTCACCAAGGACGCACCCAGGCTACTCGACCACTGGTGTGCAAGTGAGGGTGGGTCGCATCTCAGAACGAGATTTGAACTGATTTCCCGCATAGACCTCTTCACTGAAGACCTGCCTCGGTCTTGCCGAGCCAGGCTGCGTGCTTTTACATGGAGTACATCTCAGTGCGTCTTTTATGATTCTCGATTGACCGTTACCTCCGGGAAAGCCATAGGAATTACGATGTAGTGACGATGAGGAACGTTTGGAGAAAGAACAGAAAAGATTGAAAGAGGCCATACTGTCAGCTTTTGAGAGCCTTTGCACAAATAGCCAGAATCATCGGGCTTATCAGACAACGTTCAACTTCGACGCGGTAGATATAGAAATTCTCCTGAGCAGTCGTGCAAGTGTCGGTTGACAATGGAAAACGAAGTCACTTACCAAACTGGAAAGTCCAGAGCACGGAGGTGGCCTTTATCTGTAAAGGACGGTGTGTGTTCTGCGGTAGTCCGATTCATGGATCATGGATATGGGCTTTCCGGGCAAAAGACGTACAAAGACTATCTGTTCTGCTAATAATCGCTATCTTTTCTCTAAACCCTAACTTGGGTATGGTAGGATCGTCAGATCCGCACTGCTGGATGGTTTTGGTGGAAACAATTCGCCCGCGATGTACGAGTCAGTCGCTTTCTACAGACTACCATGGTGAGGACACGTATTTCGTGTCTCAAGGATCATCTAATCGAGCGGATTTTTTCCCTCGTTGATGCGCTGAATAAAAACAACCAAAAACCGGTCTGCCGGTAGTATGTCAGCGAAGTATGAAAGTATTAGCCTGCAAACTCCTTCGAGCTGGCGACTGAAGTCTTCCCGAGTGGAATCCCGAGACAAGGTATGGCAATGACCGGACATCATAGGTAGAAAGGCTACGGTGAGACCGGACAATATCTCATCTGGCGGGATGTTCAAATGCAGCGAAACACCTGCACGAAACCCTAGTGTAGCATCTAGATGGTTGAGCCATTTGAAATGGAATATGAAGACTGAGCATCGTGAACCGTTTCGACCAGCAAGAGGAGGTACCGAAAGTAGCAAAAATGCGTACTTGCTCGGGATTTATGTTGTTATCCTGGTGATATTACCATTCCAGTTGCCTTTGTCCTAGTTGCGAGTTTCTCGAGCATCTAGATTGTCATTTATTTTTTTGAAGAGCATGGTCACAAGCATAAAAAGTGAATGCAACCGACGAATGCGAAAGGGTGATAGGAGAATATGAGATAAAGGAGAGAAACGACTCATTTGAATTCATGCCACCACCAGTTGCATTCAGATGAGATGAATCCCAACGTATGTAAAAATGTTGGTATGGAAACACGCGTCTAAAGACCAATAACCGAAGAAAGGACAAGCAATGTTTAATGGTCTTCAAGGCGCGGTAAGCGCTAGCACAATCAAGACTAGCACATTAGGAACAAAGTTTCCGTCATACCGGGTCTGGTGTGAGATTAAATGGCGAAAATGTACACTCAACGCCGTTGCCATGCATAAAAGTGTCATAAGTACGCAGAGAGCCCACAACGGCAAGCAAACATAAGTCACTGACTGTGACCTTAGGAAGTCCCAGTTCAATAACAACCTTGGCGGATTGAGGAAACCAGACCCCTCGTATCTTGGAAGTTGTATTAGTTTTGATTGTAGTGTGACAGATGAGGTCAATGCACGAATCTGCAAGGCGCGGGCCGCGTTTGCTAATTTGAGACACCTGTAGCGTCAGAATGGTTTATTACTGAATCTGAAGGGACGTGTGTATCATGCTACAGTACGGGCTGTTTTGTTGTATGGCTGTGAGACTTGGCCTATTCGAGCAGCGGACCTGAGACGTCTTCAGGTGTTCGATAATCGTTGTCTCAGAACCATAGCTCGTGTGGGCTGGTGTCAGCGAATCCGTAACGAGGCAGTTAGAAAGCGTGTTTTCGGTTGTGCGACGAGTACTTCCATTGAAGAATGTGTCCAGCACCAGAATCTGCGTTGGTTGGGACATGTGTTGAGTATGCCTAGCCATCGTTTGCCGAAGAGAGTGCTGTTTTCCATGCCCAATTCAGGGTGGCGTAAACAGAGGTGGCCAACCCTTGACTTGGCAGAGGAGTATGAAGAGTATGAGATCACGAAACGCTTGGGTGCTGTCGGTGCTACTCGCTTTCCATGATGGGGACCGCGTGATTCTCACTGTGCCTGGTTGGAGACATTACAAGATATGGCTGCCAACCGATGTCAGTGGCGTTCTTGTTGTCAGTTTCTATCCAGATCACCTGAGTGAGTGCCTGGAGGTATAGGCACCTCGGAATGATTGTGGTAAGCTAGCAATAAGTCCCTTCCTCGTCCACCTTTACTCTTTTTTACAATAAGGCTTTCAAATAAGTCATGGTTGTACGGCAGTGAAGCATCGGTGTTGAACACTGATGTCATGCTGTCGATGATGATGATGATGATGACCCCTCGATAAGAGATGATCATCGGTTTGTGGACCAAAAAGTCGACATCACATCCATCTACTTGCTCGTTTGAACAGATTGACACCAAAATCACCTTGCGATCTCTTTTGGGGTTTGTGATTGTTCGATAGGACCTTGATCCTTAACCTGCCTGTAGTTGCACAAAATTCCGATATATTATTCTACATGTTAGTCATAGTGACTGTCATAGCTTTTCCGTGGCTTTAATTGCAACGAATTATTTGTCCCGTCCATTTTCTAGGTTTATCGGTCGAAAAACACAACCACAGTTGCCGTATCCGGATTGACAATGAATGTGTTCCAGGGACAGATCACTGTGTTGCTAGGACACAACGGAGCTGGAAAGACTACCACATTGTCTATATTGACCGGTTAGTTGACGGCTTTTCTTTCGTTAAAGCTGGGCACTAATCTATATCATACTGGTAAAGTTTAATTCCAGCAAAACAGTAAGAGCATTAAGCCACAGTTTTCACATGGTATCAGAGGTACTTCGCAAAATATAGGCTGCCCAGTGACCATGTTTTCCACTCGAAAGCGTCTTCTCCTCGGATTCTTTTTCATGGCTTTAGCAATTCTTCTACAGTTTTGTAATTTGTCGATTCAATGTAATAATTCTTTTGCGAGCCGCCTAGCTAACCATGTACACATCGCCTCGCCGGGAATGTAGAGTGAAAATTTGAAAATATAATTGTTCAGCTGTAGCACCCTTTCGGTGCCTAGCTGCCATACCACTCGAAGGAAGCACGAGGGCTGGGATACTGCCAAGTTGTGGAAGCCTAGACAGAGGAAGTCGAGAGGCAGAGGTCAGGTACGAACCACGGACCTTTCGGTTAGTAAATTCGCGCTCTAACCACTTGGTCCATCTCGCTTGAGAGAGGCGTACTCAGGTATCGTGATATCTCCCTAACTGTGACCGTATGCCGACTCATCAGAGCAAGGCTTTTCGCTACAGCACTGATAGATGGGGTTGTCTTACACATCTGGTTTGCAATTCTACTATGGGTACCTATTCCAAGTGCTAATTGACCTTTGGCCGGGAAATTTGGGTTGGAGTGATTTATTTCGGTTGTTCGTACAGTTGAGAGTGAAGTAATCCTTCACTGCGTGGGCAGGGTGTTTGTGCTATGTTTGGGACAAAAATGAGGTTGAACAGAGTCGTCCTGCCATCATTCCTTCGTTCTTTCTCCGCCGACAATTTTCAGCTAGACTCACACTTGGTGGGGACTACTGGGTTTTGATAGTCTCTCTCGCCTGACAAACTACTAATCTTTCTGGTACCGTTTTTCGGGCTACCCTAGTTGTCTTGTTTTTCACAGATTGTTGCACCCCATATTCTGGATCGGCATTGTTGAAAACAGTTGATTGGTATGCCACTTTACACGCTACATCACCGGTATCGCGGCCTATCAGGTTGTAAACTCGACTAACACATGTCTGTGTCAGCTTCTAATGCGCCTCTCTAATCGGGAAGTTCCCGACTAGTTGAGCTTATTGCTCATTTCTCATTAGTGCTTTGCCCACTGCCTTCATTTTTTCGGTAGGCCTCTATCCACCGACTAGTGGAACGGCATTCGTCAGCGGACATGACATTCGAACCGATATAGAAGGGGTTCGGCAGCATTTGGGCTTCTGTCCTCAACATGATGTCTACTTCAAAACGCTCACCGTCGAGGAGCACCTGCAACTGGTTGCCCGTGTAAGTAATGACAAATACAGTTGATATTCATGTTCCTTTTAGATATTGTTAGAATTTATTATGGTTTGGGTTCGTTGTGTTAAGTCCGCTTCGCTTTAGGCAAGTGAGGAATATGAGGGAATTTATCGTCGTCCACTTTTGTTTAGGCTAGTTACCTTAAGGATCCGATATGCTGCATGCAACCATCCAGGCACTGCAAATGAACACTGAAATGATGCTGCATTCGCACTGCAGCTGTACATCTTTACTTCAGGCTTCGTACGCGTTGCGGCTTGAAGCTCTCCATGCAATGCAGGTTGTGTTAAGTCCGCTTCGCTTTAGGCAAGTGAGGAATATGTGGGAATTTTTCGTCGTCCACTTTTGTTTAGGCTAGTTACTTTAAGGATCCGATATGCTGCATGTAACCATCCAGGCACTGCAAATGAACACTGAAATGATACTGCATTCGCACTTCAGCTGTACATCTTTACTTCAGGCTTCATACGCGTTGCGGCCTGAAGCTATCCATGCAATGCATTCAGCGACAAAGTTCGTGCGTTTTTTGATTGAACTCTTCTTCCAGTGATGAATATCCTCGGCTGAATGAAGTATCAAGCAGGTTTTCAGTGTAGCAGACCAACTTTTCAACAGGTCATTAGAACGTTCGTATCAACTACTCTGAGTCTGTACCAACGCATCTTCCTGTTTGCGAGGAACCGATCCGAGCCACTGTGGTCTGGGCTGTTGTAGGTACACAGAATCGCTCGCGCAGCATCCAGTGCAACTCTACGGCTGGGTGAGGTCTTACTGTGGTCTGAGTCAGATGGCTACAGCTATTTACAGGATATAATCGGACGCCCCAGCTTAACTGGAGCCCTCTGATTCGATATTGTGCTCCACAGCGCCTCATGACAGAGACCCATGTGTTTTTGAATCTCCATAGGTGTCTTACAATTCGCTACAGCATGCATATATTATCAGTGCATCTCCTACGAGGACAGAAACCTGCTTGCTTAGGACGGATGTGTGAGATTTTTAGTTTCACAGCTGCTTGGCAGAAGCGGTCGGGCTGTC